GACAAACAGCTGATCAGCTGTTTGTCGGCTCAGCGCGGCAGCCATGTAAATTTAAATGAAGCGGCGATTATTTAAATCGCCGCTTCATTTCCCTTTGCCCAATAAACAAATCTACATGGCTCCGTCGACGGAGCCATGTAGTGTAGACGTACCCTATGACTGTCTGTTTTTGCTCTCAGGGAATTATTCAAAATAAGGGGCTCACCTATTAAGAGGTGAAATGGAAAAGTCTATTTCCTTAGTATGTGCTAAACAGGATAAGAGTAGACTGTGCAAAACAAAGAAAAAAGGTAAACACCTTGAGCTTTGTTTCACATTCTGTGATATCCCACTGTGGTTAGCTAAGGCCCCAGTGTACATCATTCCGGTAAATTACAGCTGCCAAGAGACTTTTGCTGAGAGGGACAGGATAGGAACAAAAAGGAGTTGGGGGAGGCCTCTGTGTTGGGAATGGTTCAACTTTCAAAGCTGTTATGATTCGCCCATACATTTTGTAAGGGCAAAGTATCTTGGGAAATTGTGCTCTTTCTTTGAGGAGGAGAAGGCGGCAGAGACTTGGGGCTTCTGTGGGTGAGGGAGGAAGAACTTTCCTGAGTCCAGTGTCTGCAGCTCCAGATTGCAGCTGATTCCCTTTGGTAGTTGGGAAATGTCAAAACTGAATTTGGAAGGGGACGGCATAATCCTAATTAAACAGAGAAGGCCAGCAGGATTCCCCAGGCTCTAAGAGGAGTAAATCTATGCCTGCTTATGCGTATACTTCCCCATTAAGACTGTTTACTGATATTAGTGGAATAAACTGATATTCCATTTTTGATCTGCAGTTGGTCTGCTAAATGTATGTGTTGTGGAAAGGGTGAAACAACTCAACTAATTAAAAAATCGATTTTTCCCTGTGAGCCAAACCCATTCAATAAATTTCAGTTGTGCTGAAAGAACAACCAGCAACAAAAAAAAGGCTGAATAATTAAAGTTTCAGCCCAGGTTTTGAAATGTATCATGTTTTTGACTTTGCTGAGGAAAAAAAGATTATTTCTAGTTAGAGTAAAGAGTAGTGAAAACGAGAGAGAAAGACAATGCTTCTTTCTTTCATGGCAATTTTATCTTCCAGCGGAGGTATAGGAAAGAATCATGATAGCTCTGAAACTAAATAATAAATTGTTTCATACTGAAAGGAATACCTCTGAGAAACAGAGATCCTGATTTTTCTGGTATGTTATATTAGCATGCCGGCCAGAATGGGAAAGATTTGGAGGGTGAGTATTGTGTGTATGTTTGCAGTGGTTTGGCATTGACAGATGATCCTTGCAGCCAAAGGTGAGGGTGGCTGACCCTTTCAGAGCAGTTTCCATGACAACTAGCATTTTTGAATAGTCTTAGTTTATAGAAAAATGTTTCTTCTAGTGTTTTTTTAAATAGCACTTTAGTGGAACTTCATTTTTTCTAACTAATCAGAACAATACCTTATCTTTTTTTCCCCTTTCCTGTTTTGGGTAGATTCCATAAACTTCTCTCCAGAGTATTTCAGGAAGTGTTGAGGTATGAGCTGGCATAAAGTTAGTTATTCTTCTCATGACTAATAATACTGACTGGTCAGTCACTTTTAATTTCCACTCTCCTTTCAAAAAAAAACAGTTATCTAATTGGGACTTGGTTTTACTTCCAATGCTAATGCTCTTCCAATATCTGGGTGAAAGTTCAAAAATCCCCATCATTCAGTTCCTCAATCTGTATGTCCAAGGCTGAGCTATTTTGACCATGCACTTTCTACTGCCAATATACTTTACTGATGCTGTCATTGTACTACTGAAAATATAGCTTTCTGTTCTGTAAAAGCACTTTGGGGTGATTTTCAGTATGACATGCACCATATGAAGTTAATTCCGTTAACTCGGTGACTAAATTTATGCTTTAGGCAAGTAGTTGGATTTTTTTGGGTAAAATTTGAGTTTGTTTTAGAGGCCTATTGCATTCTTGTTGATCTTGGGAAGATCTCCCACGTTTTTTTTTTCGAGTGATTGCTTATGTCCATTCTATGTAATTGTATGCATCTAGATATTCCTTTCCCTTTCTCTCTTTAAGAGAGAGACATTTGCCGTTAATTTCTGGTTACTTCTCTTTTTCCTCTGCAAATTCAAGACTGGTAACATTTAGATGAGAAGTCTTGCTGGGGTTCCATCTCTTCTCTCCTCCTGTGGTTGCAGGGGCAGGCTGTTGGTGACTTGTACAACAACGGGTGAAATAAAAATCAAGGGAAAGATTTTTAGAGGTATACAGTTTAATTCAATATGTAATAATTACATTGAGAACTGGGGATGTAATAGTGCAGTCGATTAACCAATAAAAAAAAACCTTACAAGTTAATGCTATAGACTACATGCATTTCCCTGCCTCCCCTGCCCCTGCCAGTAAATTTTTTAGCAGACGGCTCAGCAGCCCAGGTCAGTGCTGGCTTGTGCCAGGTCTGGGACCTATCTCCACTGCAGCTCTATTTAAAGTGTAGTAAGAGCCAGGTGGACAGGCAGCTCGGCTCAGTTCCAGCTCACGCTGAGTCTGGGAGCTCAGCCCCTCCCCTCTGCCCTGACTCTGTATGTGAGGCAGCAGCGCAGGATGACAGGCAGCCAGTCTGTCAGGGGGCTGGTTTTTAAACTAGCTCCCCTTGTGGACCAGCTCCCGCCTGGCACCTTGCGCTTCTGCCTTTGATGCA